ACATGAAGTCATATTATAGTAACTCGATGCCTATCAAAATAAGTAATAAAAATTCGCCATAATTCGTCAAATATCCGTGGGGGCTCCGCCCCCTGGACCCCCTACCGGGGTCCCCTAGGCGGCCCCCCTGGCCCCAGCCAAGTAAAAACTCGATTCGCTCCACTAGCAAGTGAGACTCAATTCGCTCCACTAGCTCCCCCGTCGGGGCCTTTAGCCCTCCGTCGGGCAGGTCCTGACGCCATCACTGGTCGTGTATTACAGATAATTTAGATGTTAGTGGGCAGAGATGCCGGAATCTTGCTATAAGAATAGCCTATATACAGTACTCTACTTTGGCTGTACATACAAAGCTCTTACGTTAAAACCTGGGTCTTTTTTATGCTGTTTATTTCAACAACTTTCAGACATCTTCTTTACTTATGAAATTACATTGTGGTCGAAAAGTGAATGGGACCAAAACTCAATTAAAAATATGGGGGGACGTGTCCCGTCTCCTCATTACCTGCGCCTATAGGCCTACTGGTAACCGGTACAGCCACTGTCCGGTCCCCTCAACCCACTGAAGGGGTGGACACAACACCATGGTTTAAAAAATGGCTCCTCTGCCGGGAAATAGCACATGCATACTTTACAAAAATGAATGTCCCTCACTTTAAAAGGGTGATAAATTTAGATTGCAAGTAATTAGGGCCGGACCATTTATGCCTTTGTCACATAACAGCCTACTGATTCTATCGGAGTCAGTTATTCTTTAAAGTCAATTCTTATCCTACAATCCATCAACATAATAATTATCGACATCGTCATCACCGCCATCATCATCATCATAATCATCATCGCCATCAACATCATCACCATCATATCATCATCATCATCATCAATATCATCATAACCACCACCACCACCACCATTATTATTATTAATTTATTATTATTATTATTATTATTATTATTATTATTATTATTATTATTATTATTATTGTTATTATTATCATCATTACCCTTATCGTCATAAAGGAATGGCGCATTAGAAAAAGAATAATTGTATTTTTATACCACTCCAGGTGGCGTTTTACATATAAACATTACTCAATGGACTACGAAGGAGACTTTACAATTAATAACAAATGTAAGTACAGTAATGAACATTTTGCATCGTTAATTCACTAGTTAAATGGGAATTTTGTCATCATTCTATGGTTATTATTTTGACTACTTTTGTTAGGCTGCCGCATTGAAGGCATTGACAATTTCCTCGACAGAAGCATGCACTGACATGCTGCATTCTATCCAACAACATACATTCCAAGTGACCCGCTAAAACCACCAAAGACGGAAACTAGCTAAAAAACGTTATTTACAGTAAATACAGCTTGGGCCTTGTTAACTTCCGTTTGTTGTTTACATTGTAGATTCGTATCTGTTTTTTTTTTCATTGACAATACACTATATGCAATTTATTACCAAGAGCCTATATTATCTGGTAGACAACTTTTAATCCTGAATAATCGGAATTTGTTATAGCCCGACAAAAATATTTTCTATATTATTTTTAAAGGACAGCGAACGTGATCGGGGTAGGCCCAAATGACACCGGCTTTATCAATATTAATATTAATTATCTTCATGGATGTGATACTTCTTTGATGTCGATGTCAATAAAGCTACTACTGTAGTGACGGATCCAGAAATTCGAAACAGAGGGGATCCATGGGGGACTTTCACATGGATTTTTGATTACCGGTATATTACCTCAGTGGTCCATGCTCTAGATGGCCGGAAACGACTTCAATATTAATACAATTTTCATTTTTTCCCCCTTTTCGAATATACAGAGCAGTTGAGTATTTTATATAGGACTGTAATAATAATAATAATACTAATAATAATAATAATAATAATAATAATAATAATAATAATAATAATAATAATAATAATAATAATGATAATAAGAAAGATAAGAATGATAATAATAATAATGAAAATTTATAAAGTGCCGGTATTCGTTTAAGAGGAAACGCCCCGCTATATACCTTTACAATACATTTGAAATAGATACATTTTAAAAACCAGACATGAGCCGTACATGCCTGAGCGTCTCTCTCTCTCAATCTCTCTATGTGGCCATGTGTGCACGGATATTTATTTATTTATTACCAATTCGACATAATATAGATGAATAATATGCAATGGATGAAATTACTTGGAGACTGCCTGGAGCAAGACATGGGGAAGGCCCAACACCAAAGGTGGTCCACTGATCATAAATGTAATTCATACATGAAAGTAAAAACAATACAAAAAAAGCCTAAATTTGAAAACAATGGCTCCCAGTTTTCAATAAAAATAAAAATAAAAATTCAATAAAAAAGAAAATGGCGCTAGGAGGAAGAGTTTTCTACAATTTAGCTGCCTTAATGAAAACCGATTTTTGAAAATAAAGTAGTCCTAACAGTCCTTGATTAGATTACGCTACTATGGGATTTTCAACACAAAAAAAAGAAATAAGGATAAGCCACACATGTAGGACAAATAAAGGAGAAATATTAATGGAGATATTTAGCAAAAAGTACAACACGGCTAACATTTTTTCTGACCTCCAAAGGGAATAAATTAAATAACCTCAGCTTGTCCTTATATACTCCGCATAAGTTACTATGCTGGAGCCAGATTTATCAAACTAGAAATCGTCTTTATCAATTGCTTAGCTCATTCTTAAAATAAAAAAGCCGACTGTACGCATGCGCCAACTAAGATAATTTTTGAGCTGAGATTTTGCTAAAATGGTTTAATAAATCAGCTTAAGATATTTGCTTTATGGACATCTTAACTTTTTTGTCTTAAGACATTTGCTAATCTGAGATTGATAAATCCCGGGTCTGGGCCCCAGTAGCACATGTAAACTAAACATTATTTTTAACTTGAAACTCAACTAGCATTGCTCATGTAGTCCGAGTTACCATAACTTATAAACTTAGCCTAACATCAACTCCCTCGTCCGACTCCACGAAATTAATTTGCCGATCCAAACAAATATATTTTGATAGCCAATCCAATTGTGGTCAGAAATTACATGGTCGTTCCTTTACCGTATTCTTCCCATGAATCTCACCCCAGGGATTTTATTCCGGGACCCTGAACAAGGCTCTTGGTATCCCCTTGTTTTAGACCCCGATCATAATTGTTGGACCCTCTATCGACATTTTTCTCATTTTTTCCTGATTTTACGAACATTTTACTAGGAAAATGCTTAAATCGACACTACCAGCCAATTAAAGAGTTTATGTAAAAATAAGAATATAGCACCGGTATAATTTAACTATCTGTTAATTGATAGAAAAACTATTTTGTCATTCGTATATAATTGTAAGTTTGTAACTTACTTAAATATAATTATTGAGTTATGGAATTAAATTATTTAGCTTTCAGCTCAAGACAGACAGTGTATATTTAAATTGGACATCATTTGAAATGGGCTGGACTCCGGCCTAAGGGGCGTTCCTGATGCTCATTACGGTAATTTTTATTTTTCTTAATCTCATCCCATTTGTTACATTGCTTATGCATGTTGAACATCGAATAAATTCAATCAATCAATAAAAAAATATTATATCATAAAAAATGTTTGTATGAAGATTATTGATATAATATTATGTTTATTGTTTGAATATACTGAATTTAAGAATCTGTATATTCATTTCTATCGAATAGTACACTTTTTATAAACAATCAGAATGCTAACAAAAATGTGTTTGCGCTATTGCGATCTACTAGTCCTACCCAATGCATGTATTTAATAATCCTCACATCATTCCGTGGTATGATGTTACTATAAATAATTAATATTTAATATGATAATTCTGATATGATAAGAATTGTGAAGTACTATTATGTTGTATCAGCAAAATTGTCCATTGCGATAACTGAATACGAGGAAGGAGGGTGGCAGCCAGCCTGCCCCCCCCCCCTAAATCTCAGAAAATGTTTAAAAAATTGGAGGAAAAAAGAAAATTACATTCAAATTTAAAATCTGAGAGTGCCATTCCTGGCCATCTAGAGGTGCCATAATCGAAAAGTTTCTTACCTCAGCCCCAACCATGGTGGGGTTGAGGTGGAGGGAACAATTCATCTGGCAAAGTCCCTCATCGTGGGCCACCTCTATTTCAAACCTACTGGCTCTGCCTCTATTTTTATTTATATATTATGTTTTGATGATACTCCGTTATAATTCTTTATCTGGTTCCTAATCTTTTCTCAATATTTTTCTATTACAGTGATGTAGAAAAAGAAGCCACAACTATCAGGAAAGAATGTCCGGCCTCAATCGTGAAAGGGCAACAGAACTTACCAATCATTCACAGATAGCCAAAAATTGTGTCACTCATCATGCTTCCTGCAAACAATCTGGATATGAAAATATAGTGTATATATATATATATATATATAGGCCTATCACAACTTGATTTCAGTGCTTGAAAATAAATATCAAATGGAATTGTGCATTTCTTCTCATCTTATTTAATGTCTATGTTCACTGTAATACATTCAATAGCTAAAATATCCTTATTATAATAAGCTTATAAGCTTAAACCAAAAGTGAAGAATTGCTTCATCAATAATATGTGCTACTTTATCTATTAAACTAGCAATTCTTTCGAGGACGCCCTCAACAAAAATATAAAACCGGAAATGACGTGGTTGCTAAGCAACAAGCTCATGCATAATCATGAATATTCAGTGACACCTGTTCTAATTAGACTAACAATAAAATCTTTTTGGTCGATTTTGTCAAAACTGAGCTAAAAGTTTTTATTGTTAGTCTAATGAGCACATGTGTTACTGAATATGCATGAACTGTAGCCTAGCAACCGACGTCATTTCCTGTTTTGTAAAATTTGACAGCACCTTGCTCTGAAAAGTTTCGTAATTGGTTGGTGTCATGTGAATATATTTGGAAAGAGTGTTTATAAGATATAGTAGCCTGTAATAGTGCTATATTCGAATCGTGATTATAATAAAAAGTGATTATAATATTATTTAATTCGATTATATGCTGATTAATAATGAAATATATATTATTATTAATGCAATTACGACAAAGGAAGTACACACAATGATGTATTATAAACTACAGTTTACTTTTATTTCTTACATACTCGGAAATGTTACATCAGAACTATATAAACGTAATATAAATAGAATATAAATATTCTAGTTTTATATAATATATAATGCTTAGGCATTATTATATTTAAATATGTAATATTGTTCGAGAATTACTTGTTCGTTGTATAAGAAACATAATTCGCAAATTGTATTCAATTCCGGTGATCCAGTGATATAAATCCTAATAAATATCCGCGCGCGCGATTATTTATCTGGCTATTGATAACATCTTGTGTTCCGGCAATTTCATACACATCTTGTTCCGCTGAAAATAATTGTACATCGACTTCTCACTTATTGATGGATCGGTAGATTTGACCTGAGACCCTGAAATAAAAGAGATTGAACTAGTGAGAAATACATTCAAATTATTTTCATTTTGGCATCTGTGTTAAGTTAGGCCTAATAAGTTAATTTCTCATTAGATTAAAAACACTTTTTGGAACCTTTATGACATTCATGAGGTATAGGAATACAAATTAAGAAAAAAAAATGATTGTTTAATTGTAAAGTGTACATGTTAATAAAGCGTTATTTTAATATGAACGGGTGAGTACGCTCCCCAACATCCCACCCCAAATCGACAAAGGTCCAAATTTTAAGACAGTCTAGTCGTAAATGTACTCAATACACATTTTGTTTTTTGTAATGAAACTTAAAAGCGAATATTAAATCTTAACATTTAACCAATATTCTATCGGACCCCTGTATCGTCATATAATAACAAAGCTGGGGTCCAATCTGCATTTCCACTTCACGGTGGAGTTTTAGGTGAACCCTCCACATCATCTTATGTTTTCTATCTGAGATTATTATTTATCTATTTATTTATATAGCATTTTGAAAGAAGGTTTAGATTTCCCTACATCCTATCTTGATTTATATATATATATATATCTGTCTCTTATACACATCTAGATGTGTATAAGAGACAGACTATATGTAGTCAAAGGTTAACTTAGAGGAACATGCTTCCTTGAATAAATTACCAATATTCTATAGGAATTTTATTGATACGTGTATCCGTTATAATAACATACAGGAAATCAAACTGCATTGCATATGTGAGGTAAAACTACAACGAATTTGGGAAAATAAGAATATTACTGTAAACAATAAATCTCTTTTTAATAAATTTTGGATTGAGATAAATATACAAAATGTAGGTGACATCATTGTAAATGATAGAATTAAGCAGGTGAACGAAATAATTCCATCTCTCTCAAAAACACACGATGCTTTAATTGAGCATACAAAATTAAATGCAGCCATTCCAAGTAGTTGGAAAAATATTATCAAATATAATCCCTACTGTTTAACACACAGAGAAAACGATTGTAAAACAAATTATGACATTATTTTGAAGAAACAAAATGTTAAAAAATTCTACACATCATTTTTAAAACCAATATATAGCATACCAAATGTTGGAATCAAATGGAAAATGAATTACAAAACAATTCAATTAACTGGGAACATTGTCGGAAAGAGAAAGTACACTCAATGCTACATATTAAAAGGTTGCTCAATTTAATTATAAATTATTACACAGAATCTTGCCAACGAAAAGTCGGCAAAAGATCAAACACAGACTTCTGCGAAGCATGTAACGAAATAGAAAATGAAAAACATATGCACTTATAAAATCCGCATACGCCTTAAATTCTAAAGGACGATAAAGAATAGATGTGTATAAGAGACAGTATATATATTGAGTACTTAGATTTACATTGTTGAATATAGGTTGCAAAAACATGTGCTTACGATACGGTATGTCATTACACTGAACAACAAATCTTTAGCTCTGTTCTTTACTGTTGTTTACATTTTCACTCAGATATTCCGGTGTAAAGCCATTGTATGAAAATTACTCAAAAGAGTTTTAGAGCAGTCTCCAGTCTGAAAATGTAGTCCTGAACAACAACACAACAATGGATACCGCAACTAAACCTAGCACCATGAAGGCATACAGGCTTGTACAACTACAGTATTACTTAGAAAAAAACACCATTCCAATATTTCAGAAGATGGTTTTCCGACGATGTGTCTAAGACACAGTTCCGGTAGTTAACATACACGCTTGCTTCAACCGTAATTTGGATGTTATGATACAGGTGCACAACCAACCAGGTATCTAAAGGAAAATTGCTGCCAATGACAGTAGTGCCCTTCCAGGCTAAACTTACACATTATTACTCTCTACCCTCGAATTGGTCTAGCACTGGGGCCGAAACGGTATCCGACCAGTTTGTCAAAATCCAGTTTACCGAAACACATGATTGCTGAATTAATGGCCTCTTTGGAGAAACCCAGTTTGCCGAATCCAGTTCACCGAAACCATGTTGGGAATGAAGTTTCCATTAGATCTGTAAGCAGATCTAATGGAAACTTCATTCCCAACACTTTCTATTGTTTTACTCCAGTAGAATTACATTTTAATTACAGTGGAATTAAGGGGCGTTGAATACACGTAGGGCCTATCCATTTTACACAAAAATAAATAAATAAATATATGCCTGCCTCGCTTTTATTTTTATTTTATTTCAAACATCATCCAACAGCTAAAAGTCAATTACAGGATGTCTTAAATACTATAATTAAAATATTACAAAATGCTGTACAAATGAATTGTTAACTATAAACATTATTAATTGGTAATTTTAAAAAGATATCGCATAGAAAATACATTACAAAAAAGTACTGGCACAAAATCCATTATATAAAAACATTGAAAATAATATACAAAAAATTAATTAAATTATAATATTAGAAATTTAAAAAGATATTATTGCATATACAGAACACATATACAGAGTGACACATAAAACCACTTTTAGTGCAATTGACTCTGTTAAAGGGTGCCATAAACAGATCATTACGACAGGAGCCGGATCTATTGATCTTAAGAGGAAATAAAGAAAATAAAGCAGTATAAAAAATTGAATGAACACATTTGAAAAGAAAAACCATATGAGAAACATTTCTCCTTTCACTAACTGAGGGAAGAGTTATCACTCGATCGGCCCTCCCCCCTTTCAGACATCTGCATGCGCTCTGTATGAGTTTATGGTTTGTAGCCAAAAATTAATCCTCCATCGCAACTTGAATTTATGAAAACGCCCTCTATGAACTCCAAATTTGTTTCTCGCATCTCGCAATGCTCTCGCTCGCATATAATCATAGCGGCTAATTAGTAACGCCTATCTGTATGTAGTCTTTGGTCTCGCATCATCAGTTTTCAAAATAATTTTTCTTGATAAGTTATGTATGGTTTGACTTACTACATAATAATATCATGAGACCATACTCCTACTCCCTTTTTAAAATATATTTTAAGAAAATATTGATTTAATTTGTAAAAATAAACGTCTTTAATATGAAAGGCAGTGATTTAATCGTAAAATGACATGAACTACTAGCCAGTATCAGTGATGAACATAATCTAGATCTAGATATCGAGGACTGTCAGTGTCAGAACTACCCAAAAAGAGTATATAATTGAAGTTCTATACTCTTTGCTACAACACGTGCAGTGGTTGAAGAAAATAAATTGATGTAGCTATGAGATGATGGTTCTTATAACAACAAATTTTGTTTGCGTTCCATACCTGTGCCGGTCCGGTGGCCGGATTGCACCGACCCTTCTTTTTCTATGACAGCTGTGAACTAAATAACAATAGTAATAAATTGTTGTTGTAATATAGAAAGATATTAATTTGTTTGCCTTTGGTGTACAGGCTGTACAATGCCTAGGCCTAAGTACAAAGTAGGCAAGGCAGGTAGGACGGGTGCTGTAGACCTATTTTCTTTGAACGCGCATTGATACAACAGACTATCAATGTTTTACGTCACACTCTAGACGGCCGACAGGTCGTCGGTTCGTTTATAAACACAGACGCTGCAGAACAAGTTTGCAGTTTCGTAGTAGAAGTGGAGTTGGAGGTTGGTGGGCTGAGGGCGTTTAGTCAAAGGTATCTTATTTTTCTGTGTTTTAAGGATAAAGCTATCAAGTTTAATGACCATAGTGGAAATCATGAGTTTGACGGACGAAAGTGATAGAAATGTGTTGTTTCAACCAGAGGGAACTGACGGAGATGATGAAGGGACCGAACCTGAGCGAAGTCCTAGTCCATTGATGTTGGCGCTACGCCAACAAAATTCTGAACGAGTTCAGCGAGGTGGTCGTGATAGAAGTGGACGTAAGCATGCACAAAATTATGATTCTCGCAAATTATCAGAGCCAATATCTCGCAACAATGGTAGAGTTCAACGAAACCATAGTAATGGAGTGCATAAAAATCATGGTGGAGGTGCAGTTAAGAAACGCAGAAGGGGAAGGAAACGACACAACAAGAAGAAATGGAAGCCATACACGGAGCTGACCTGGGAAGAGAGAAAGGAGGTGGATGAACGCGAGGCTACCAGAGCGGCGAAAAAGCGAGAAAATAGACCGACACCTTATAATACCACACAGTTTCTTATGGAAGATCACAAAGTTGAGACTCCTGATTTTTCGAGTGTTGCAATGTTGAAAAACGATTTGGAATCTTCTGATGATGTGTTGGATGATAATGCTGTTGGTGGATTTCTTGAGAAAGACTTTACAGCAGTTTATGATGATTTTCAATCGGAAAGACTCCAGAATATGTCTAAAGGAGATCTTGTTTCAGAGGTTTTGGCACTTTCAAGTAAAGTCAATGAATTGGAGGGAAGCCAGAATCTTAAAAGACAAAATTCAAATTGTAATGGAAGCGATGATCTTGATATGCACCTAATTAGTCCAGAAGTGCGTGCACGATTACAAAGTGTTGGGGATTTGGAAGCAACAGTGTCGCAATTACGAGAGGAAAACTCAAGACTCCAATCAGAAAACAAACGTTTAGTTTCATGTGCAACCATTTGAAGATGCGTTCTGTGTTGAGTTGTGTAATTTTTAAGATAAACTTGATGATATTCCAAATTTTAAATTTGAATGATGCAATACCAAATATAAAACAACTGCCAATGGAAGGGAAAGGAACCCAACAAAGATTAAATTATTCATGTTATTCTTTTTTATATGAACAATTGATATGCAGAAATTAGTATATCATGTATTATTTGGACATTCTGAACCACATAAACTATAAATATTTATTAAAATTTGCAAGAATTGAGCCAAACCAATTGGCAAAATATTTCCCACACAAGAGAAAATGGAATGTTATGCAAAAACTTTTAATAATAAATAAAAAAAGGTTTTGTTTGGAACTGAAGCATGGACAAAACATTTAAGCAATAATTATTACGGTAAAAAAATAAACAGTAAAATACGAAAGTCTATTTCTTGAGGCATGTATGTTTTTAAACAAGGTTTTTGCAAACTATTTGCTTGTATGTATATGGTATGCACAAAATTGTTGACGTCGCAGATTAGTAAAAAGATGTGCCTGTACCGTAATAAAAACACATTTTGTCAACCGGCCATTAAGTGTAGATAAAAAAATGTGATGAGACATTTTTGGATTATTTGATGATATTCTGCAATCCTAATTATTGACCACAATTGAGGTGATACCATTCCTGATATTTTATAGTACAATGAATTTGACAGTGCCAGTAAACAAAATGATGCTATTTCAAACACTATTCCGAAGTAAAAATCTAGAATATCAAGGATAATGAATATAAACCACTATTTGGTTCACTTAGGAATAGAAGTAATTATGCTTTAACTTGTGTCAAGTAATTGTGATAATTTTCATGTTGGTCCATAAAAGGTGAAAGAGCATAATTCTGCCAGCTAAGGACAGAATGCAAGCTAAATTCAAATAAAATATAAGTTAATTTTATATTAGGTTTCCATGGCAGTAAAAATGTTCTAGTTCCCAAGTTGTCACATTCAACACAATTTGATTATTCAAAATATCTAATATCCGCTTTCATGAGCAAATTTTTTTGGATTCCCAAAAAAATTGTGTGTGCATAATTATTATGTTTATTTGCTTTTTTGGAATTTATTTATTTTTCAATTGCAGGGAAGGGAGATGTTCATTGCTATTGAATATTTTAATTCGATTCAAATGTATAAAACAATGAAAGATTTATTGTGTATTATATTGTTTTAATTTCTAAAGGACGATAAAGAATTTTGGAGTTTTCAAATATTTTTCTACAATATGTAAATGAAAAAAAAAATATTGCAAGAGTACGGGTATTTGTTGAGGATTTGTACTTTCAGATATTAAGTTTAGGAAATAAATTAAAAATAAAAAAACTTGAAAATATTAAAAACCTGGTGCTAAAAATACGACTTTAAGATGTTCTAAATTTAAAAAGAAAGGTCAGTAAAAACACCTGGGAAGTCAACAGTAAGAAAAAGTCGAAATCCAAAATTCTATACGTCTCTAGAGAAGCTTGTATCCTCAAAATTTTGTTTTGTTCAAAAAACAATTTTTAGAGATTTAAGGGAGTTGTGTAAATAAAGGATTTCTGAGCTATCAGATAAGCTACAAGCACTGTAGTCTATCTCTTGTTTATTAAAATTGTGTTTAATGACTACCATAAATGCTCGAATAAGCGCCGCGGCCCTTATAGAATGTTTGGCAGCTTCAGTGCTGCGCTTATTCAAGAGCAGCGCTTATTCAAGAGCAGCGCATATCAAAAAATGTTGGCGCTGCACTTTCCTTGCCCGTTTCCATGTTACCTATTTCACGTTTTCCCATAGTTCAGAAGGCCTACCATAGGTCCTATCATCGTAAACAAACGTTTATAAGAAATGCTTGTGTCTTCATTGTGTTATTTATTCATTTTAATAATACTGTATACATTGAATTTAAAACCCTGTTTAATTGCACTCGGGGTAATATTATATACTCTCGATTTAGTGCCGCGGTGCTTATTTGAGAGTGGCGCTTAACGAAAAAAATGTTTGGTGCGGCGCTTATTTGAGAACGGCACTTATTCGAGCATTTATGGTAATCAGTATGATGCAGAATGCAATTAATTATCTTGACATTCAAATACGATTTAATGTTTCTATATTATTGTTACATCTCATCAGTTAATTTAAAGCCTGGCACACACTGTGTTGTACGACCGTTGGCTGATGAATCCAACTCTGCGCTCCCTTTGAGCGCTAGACGACTCAATGTTGTCTGCTGGTTGTCGGAAGCACACTCTGAACAGATCGTCATTATAAACAATCTTGTTGGGTGTGCGTTGTGGTGTTGCGTTCCTCTTAGAATCGCATCGGCCGAACGTCGGGCGCATTGAGTGAGAGTTTGCATTCATCCATCTGTGGTTATTGAAAATGAAAACATCCTGAGCTCTGTGATACACAGTCAGCCTGGAGATACCAGCCGACATTAGAATGTGACCAGTAAAACTGAGCATGACTGTTATGTATATGTATTATAAACAGTGCAAAATGAATCTACATCTTAACAGGCTAACCTCAAAATATGAGGTTACTGAATTGGAAACTCTCCACATGATTCATTTCATTTCACAGAAGGATGAATAAAGTCTAAAAATTAACTAATGACATCTCATTAGAGAACTAGTAATATTCTGTAATGCTAGGCACACACTGCATCAATCAGCCAGTGAATCCATTTTTGGTTTGTGTAAGCATCAGCTGATGTGTGTGCACAGTGATCACACATTCAGAGCATACATAAATAAACTCCAACATAATATAAGAACTGATGATGGCATAATTAATGTTGAAATATTGTAATACCAACACGATGGCATGCATTTCAATACCTGAAGTATCTATTTCACGTTGGGTGAGAATTATTTTATACCATGTTTAAGGCAAGACTTTTTATACCTTGTTTAGCGAACCTGCCGACTGCAAATATTGATGATTTCAAATAAAAGTAAAATATTATTTTTGGCCATTTAGCACACCTGCTGCCATAAAAATGTGGAAATTTCAGAAAAGAATAAAAGTTTTCTTGATTGTTATTACAACCCCGCTGCTTTGAAATTTCCGAAGGTAAGATATGTATATTTCTTCCTAATTATATTTGAAGCATTTAACCATCCTATTTTACATTCACCAATAAAATTTTATTTTTATTTTTTCCTCCATCATTTTCATCCAGCTCATATAACATGATTTTGACAAAACTATTTGCTAAATAAGAAGACAAAATTTTATTTTTATTCCACCCTCCATCGATAATCTTTAAAAAAATAAGTACGCGAAACAAGGAATACAAAGAGTCTCACCCAACTAACCATAGTTTTTAAAGAGAGGGTGTAGAAAATTGTTTTAATTAATGGAAAATGGGTTCTACAAAAGCCATCTAGGGGAAGAAAATTTAAATAAAATTGTAATGATAAATAAAAAATGCAAGTGTGTGAGGTTGAAATCACATTTGTTTATTGTAAATTTCTTATGGCTGGATTCTGCATCATTGCATTAAAGCCAGACTCCGCAGGAAAACAAAAAAAAAAATGTTGTAGAACTGGTTTTTCCAAGACACAAACAGGGTGTTCGACAAAAAACGAAAAACTCAAGAACGGTTAATGGGATACATAAACGTTTGAGTTTTTTGTCAAATCAGTTTGTACATATCAAAATTAGTTTTTCCTCCAGAGCCTGGATTTAAAGAATGTGACTGCATGTAAATAGTTCAGTAAGCAAATTGATAAATCATTTATAAATATTTTGTTAAATGTGAGAAAGAAATAAATTTCTCATTGGGAGTTTTCATGAGGGCAGCAGGCATAATAAAACTTTAAAAAAAAATTAATATTAAAAACGATAATTATCATTGCACGGCAGATTCTCCAAATAAGGTATAAATGAATTCTTGAAGTTGTTATAAACAGGTAAATGATAACCAGCCTTATGGTAGCCAATTTTTCATTTATTCTGG